TTTTACGCATGTATCTTTTGAATCCTGGAGCGCAGAGGCTTGAGGTTCAAGTGAAAAGATGTCCTTGCAAGTCAACTCCACCCCCCTTGTCAGGCCCACTCCCCTGGCAGTCTATATCCTTTGAAAGAGATAGCTGTGGGCACTTGAAAACTCTGGTGTCTTGTGATGATGAAGAACTGAGTTGAGGGGTTGTTGCTGCTTTTCATCATTGCACATCTGTAGACGTGATATCCTGTAAGGGGGCAGGGTTTTGGGGACTTAAACACAGTTAGACAAGGAAGGGGCAAAAGGCAAAAAGGATGTCCTCCAGTTTCCATGGGAAGCTGCAAATAATAACAATCTTAGCACATTAAGCATTTTATTCATTTCAATATTATTATCACATTTCCACATAATTACTGTTATTATCTGCTAAGTTTGTTTGCTTTCCTTCACTTAGTTTTTGTTGTTGTTGTTCTTTTCATATTATAAAATAAAAATTACTCCACATGTATAGAAAGAGAACTGTAAAAAATACAAAGGTTAAAAAATACAAAAGAAAGCAAAAAATTAGATTACCAGTCAGATGAAAACAAATTTGACACAAAGACATCAGATTTAGAAAAGAATTATTATTAAATATATTATCAAAACCACGCAGATTACTACTAGACTGAAAAAATGGGAAAACCATGGGGGAAAAAACTTTAAATTCACCATGTGCTATCTGATAAAAGAACTTGATGAAAATGACTTTCAACATGTGATGGACATGTCCCCAAAGTAAAACACACACACGCGCGCGCACACACGCACACACACGCACACAATGACCTATGAGGAACCAAAAATAAATAAATGCTAAGACACACAATTTGTTTTTTTGTTTTTAACCTGAAGTCACCTGAAGTAACTTGTTTTGGCATTCTAACAACCCAATGAAAAACTGATTAATGAATGAAAAACAGATTATTTGTAACCTAAAAAAGTGTCAGAGATAGAGGAAAATCAACTAATATAGCAGGGATTCAGACTTGTTTTGCTGAACAGAAAGAAAGTGACTGTTTGGCTTTAAGGGAAGAAAGACAAAAGAAATACAAATGCAATTACTTTTTATAGAGTATTTAAATCACTGTTTGCATCCCCTCATTATCATTTGTGCTGTGGGAGAAAAGAAGGGACAAACACTTTGTTAATGGGGTTCACATATCCTGTTAAAAGGGGAAATTATTTCATGTGAGAAGTCTGTCAGGAAATGCTGTTCCTAAAATGCATAGGCATATACACACACAAAAAAAAACTGTTATAAAATTTAAATCCCATTGGGGAGGCAAACTACTCAAGAGAGGAACTCACAGTGGGAGTGCTTTGATATTTACCTGTGAAAAGAAATCGGCATGTCAAGACCTGAAACCTGGCAACCTCTTGACCCTTGATGGTCCAGTACCCAACCCCTTTGTCTTAATTAGCCCCTGGAGCAAAAGACACATCAAGGATGATCTCCCCCAATGGTTCCAAGTTCCACACAAGGAAATTTGAATAGGTTTCTCCCCGCAGCACACTCTCCAAATCTCCTCTCCCCCCTCCTTCCTCTCTCTCTCTCTTTTAAGCTGATCTAGCCTCTGTGCATGTGCAGAGTTCATGTCTCAGCAAACCTTTTATACTATTGAAAATGTTGCATCTTTTGGCTAAATTAGAATTTGAATAAGGGAAGGGAAGGGTAAGGAGTAGATTTTAAAAATAGGGTTAGATTTTAAAACAAAAAGGAGAAACTCAGCAATTCAAGTATTCACCAAAGCTAGCAATTTCAGCCCAAGCAAAGGACTGCTTCCTTTATGTACAGGAAAGGGCTAATATCCCTCTGGCTATTCGCGGAACAATGCCACGCCCTTATATATGGGGGAAATGGCCAGAGAGTCAGAATTCATAGGATTTATTATTATTATTATTATTATTATTATTATTATTATTATTATTATTTAAATATTCTCAGTCATTCAGCCTCACCATTTGCAGACAAATTTTTCTGTCCTTTTTTACAGGATGGATGGTTAAGGCTCATTCTACTTGACTATATGAATTTTTATGTGCTTAAACTTTGAATAGACTTTTAAGTTTGATTTTTGTAAATAATAGACAAAATGATAAATACTGTAATCACTCAAATGCTTGATATCATCAGTTGTGCTTCAAAAACATCACGGCTTTCACCCCTCACCTTTTAAAAACAAAGAGCAAATCTGGGCTGAATTTCAACTCATCAGCCACAAATTGGGAGAGTTGAAAGGGACCCTGGGGTCATCTAGTCCAACCCTAAAATACAGGGTTCATAGCAAGATTTGTACTACCAGAGAGACACACACATACTTATGTACACAGACACAACTGGGGAAGAGACCACAAGCCATACACCTATCACAAGCCATGCGCATATCATGTACTAATGAAGAGGAAAATAAAAGTACCCAACTTTATACAGAACCCTTTTAGCAGATCTTGAAGCTAGTTTGAGTGAGAGTTTACTTCCTTAGACTAAAGAGTGCAAGTTCCTAGAGAAATTATCTTTAAAGGAAGATTGAAGTGAACATTTTCCTAAGATAGGGAGAGGATCTCTTATAAAGCAAAGTTAATTCAATTGATATAACCACTCACAAATAATTAAAACAGCCATAGATTTGATTTAAAAGGAATACAAAAGTGAACAATTTCTCCTGAGCTTGCAGAGGAGTAGTAAGCCTAATCTATGCCCCCCCCCTTGCAGTTTCCTTTAAAGGAAGCTTACTCGGGAGTAAATTTACCTGACACAGAATAAGAAGGAGAAGGGGAAAAAACCTGAAAGAGACAGAATGAAACAGGGGGGGGGGCATTTTCTAAGAAAAGAGGCCTGGACGTCTTATAGAGACTGATATCAGGAGCCTTACAATAGCTCTTCTGTCCAACCAGATCAAAGTTAAAACTGGACTCACATATTTTTCTTAGAAGGAGCACCATACTTTCATAGGCATATGCTTAATGAAGTACATACAAGGAGGAAGACTCTTTTGAGCCTCTCTCAAATAACAAACATTTGCACACTTCATTCTCATTTTATCTTGTTTAAGATTGTTAAGGTTCAACATGGCTTCCTTAGATTTAGAACTTGGAGCAAGCTTGCATTTTTATTTTAGATGGCACATTTAAGATAAGCAGCTGCTGGATGTTGCCTAAGTACAATTTAAACACTGGAAAAACGTTTCTTAAACACAAATTGAAGGGGACTGTCAGAGTCCAGGCGGGAAGTAAGCACCAACTGGGCTTTTTTCCCATCAGGAGTCTGTGGGTTCATTTCTTTTGATTGAGGTGCACCCATTTTAAGAATTTTAATAGCGCTAGCTTTTACCTTTATACTGCAGTCGGGGTTTTATCCCCACTTTTCAGGAAACACAATAAATAACCCACAGTACACTCAATTTGGACAACTCCGAGAATTAGTACTGTGACACACCGCCGTTCGTCTGGCCTGACTTACTAGGCTGGTACAGCTGTTGGCCTTTCCTGGCTACTAAGCTAACAGTGCGGTCAGCGATCTCAAACCCCCCCTTTGGTCATTACTCAGCCAGGGAGCCCACAGCAACCTCCTGCCTTTTACAATCTAACCTGAGAGTTCCCTACTGGACGCTTGCGTAGCGCAGTGCCAGATTGGGACTCAGAAATGACAAAGAAGGAAAGGAATCAGGTGCCCTTGCTTTCTCTGCTCACAGGTCATCTCTAACAAAGATCGCCATGGCAGAGGTGCGGCTGCACCTGGGAGTTATAGTTTTCAGTACAGAAGAAAAAGCACGACCTTTTTCTGGGCAAAACTCCGAAGGAATAGGTCGGCATATAGACTGTAGAAGGGAAATGAAAGAAGTCACACACAACTTTTGCCTGGGCATACTCCGAAGGGCTAGGGCTGGTGTTGAGATTGAGGGGACAGAAAGGAGAAGGCAATTTTTAGATGAGGAAAAAGTAGAAATTTTAGATTTGAAGGGAAAAGGAAGAATGACAAGAATTTTGGTTGCTGTGGTTTAGAGACCCCAACCCACTACCCGTGTTTCCTACTTAATACTCACTTCCGCATGCGCTGTTCCTGGTGATCCTGGGATCTCTTGACTGGTTGTTTAAGGCCGGCCTGATCAAGCGTTGCTTCCTCTGGTTAGCCCCGCTGAACCTCCAGTTATTTCCAGACCCTGGGAATCGATGGAGGACTGGTCATTCCTCCTGGCAAACTGCCTGGTGCGCGCTGGATAACCAGTCCTTCCTCGCTTCCAGAATCCGGGTAACCAAAAGTCCCTTCGTGCGTGGTCGCCATCTGTTGTAAATAAAATATATGCCCTTTTCCCTTATGGGGTATCCAAGAGCCCATATAGAGTCCTTACATAGGTTCCCTATTGGTAGGAGAAAATAACAGAGGCCAACCAGAGAATATTGAGAAGCAAAGCAGCTAGTCAGCTTGATCTTTATTGATCTGTTGCAACAGGGTACTCCCTCACACGCAGGAGAGGAGGAGGACCCAGAAAGATGGTGTGCAAGACCTTATAAAGACTTTTGAAATTCCCATTCTCTAGATCAAGACCACCCCCAGAAACATTACACATACATCACAGAAGGGGTGTAACCTAAGACCACCCCTCAGATACATCCCACCTACATCACAGAAATTTAAATGTTGTTTTTCTCCTGTCACAGTTTATCTCCTGTCTGGCAAGTTACTTGATTGGATTTCCCGGGGAGCCTGGCCATTCTTTTGTAGTGGTAAAATGCTTATTTCCTGGGCCAGGTCACAGGCTCACACCTTATTCAAACAGACATATCCTTGAGACAGGATTTGTGAGGAAAGAGACAATGGGGAGGCTTTTCCAGTTTAACCTTGCAGAGAAAGGATTTGGTCAGTTTGGGAATCAAAATGGTTCCAGGTTGGCCTTCCTGTGTTGATCTATGTATGTGCGGTTATGAACATTGCCATATATTTAAGACCATAAAATTCCTATCACAACGCAAAACTCAATAACGCAATGCATGTTTTCAATACTTTCCACATTACCAAGCTTGATTCACATGGAAAAGGATGAACTGCATAACTACATCTTGATTTCTAGTATGCAATTGTTGTACAGTGGATTTGTGTATGCTTTTTCTACAAATCCCCACTGAAAGGGAGGAGACATTAGGATTGCAATCAAAGGCTACAATCCCAACCCCACTTATCCAGAAGGAATCCCCACTGAGTTCAACGGGACTTAACTCCTGAGTAAACATAGTTAAGTTTGTGCCGTTAGAGCATTCGCTCATGTCACATACCTGCAGAAACCTACACCTTTCAGTTACTGCTTGTCTACAAGGGTCTTTTGTCTTTAACAAGTTATTCACTACCAGTCTCTTTATTTCTATGTTGCTAATTGCAAAAACGAACAAGCCGTATTAAAAAGGAAAGTTCTTATCAGTCATATTAGAATACGTAATGACCAGTGTGTAATGACCAGTGTGTAGGAACATCCCCAGATATTCCTAATTTAGCTTTGTCTTTCACCATTGCACTGACTTCTGTAATGGCGCAATGATAAATCTGCGAGGCTTCCTTAAATTCTGCCAGATGCTGCTCATAGCTCTCAATGCATGCTACAAGGTGATCTCTTTCCACCGCTCCCAATATAGCATGAAGAATTATGTCGATACCCAGCCCCAGAGCACTAATGGCAATGCCTCCTAGAACAGATAACCCAATCTGAGCAAGTAGAGCAACTAGTTTGTTAACAGTAACAGTTACAATATTCGAACACACCAATTTTACAGCTACTATACCTGCAGATGCAGTAGCCTCTCCAAGAATAACAGATACAATCCTGTGAGCTATTGCAATTTTTTCCAACTCCGGCTCCTTGATATCATAAAGCTTTCGGTACATCAGTGGCTCTAGCTTTTCCTTTATTTCTTTATCAAACTTCCATACCTCTTGCTGAATATCAGTCATGGCTCGGATGATGATGTCACAGTTCTCTTTGATGGTGCCGCCCTCTTTCATTTTAACGTGCGCGATCTTGGCTCCCAGATGTTCATTCAGTGCTCCAATTAGTTCATCGGTGGCCTTAAAATTCAGCTGCATGCAGTCAAGCAGTTCCTGGTGCAGGGCAATCACATCCTGGCGTCTTTGTGGATTGTTTGGGTAGAGAAGGTCACTGAGGCTCATTCTGCAAAGATGAGCTGATAATGGAAGAGGAAAGTAGTTCTGCTGTAAGCATTAGGAATTGTGGTTAGGGATGATAAACTCAAGGAGCAGACGTACAATAAAAATACTCGTAAATAAAATATTGGGAGACCACTAACCAATAAAACCGGAAGCCAACTCAAAATTATTAAGGTAATGTGCATGCCATTGCTGAAGTAGCTGAAGTTGATTCTTTTTTACTTTTTCTATTTTAAGTGTGATCATCTTTGCACTGGCCTTAAGACCTTTTCCCCCCACCAGCATTTCTTTTAAAATTGGGAGGGTAGAAGGTGTTATTGGTCTGCTTTTGCTGTTGGCTTTGATTGTACTTTAGTAATTACTAACGATAAAGTTAACAAAAATAAAATCAATGACCATAATCTCCTTTAGCAGAACACAAAGAAATTCTGTAGCAGACTGATGAAGAAGAGAAAGGCAAAAAGGTCCTTCCATGGAGGTGGGGGGGCACTGAATATCATATATTATTGACTATTATTGCAAACCACTCTTATGTTCCATCCTGGAGGAAGGGCAGATAGCAAGCTGTTAAATAAATAAATAAAATCAAGTTGCCTTCCATTGAGCACAGCTTCCAAGCAGACTCTGAAAAGGACTCAAGGGCTGCCAGGGGCTGATGGGAAGACAGGCAACAGAGTTGAAGCGCAGCCATTGGGATGATAATGCAGACTTAAAGGTAAAGGGACCCCTGACCGTTAGGTCCAGTCACGAACAACTCTGGGGTTGCGGCGCTCATCTCGCTTTATTGGCCGAGGAAGCCGGCGTACAGCTTCCGGGTCATGTGGCCAGCATGACTAAGCCGCTTCTGGCGAACCAGAGCAGCGCACAGAAATGCCGTTTACCTTCCTGCCAGAGCGGTACCTATTTATCTACTTACACTTTGACGTGCTTTCGAACTGCTAGGTTGGCAGGAGCAGGGACCGAGCAACGGGAGCTCCCCCTGTCGTGGAGATTCGAACCACCAACCTTCCGATCGGCAAGCCCTAGGCTCTGTGGTTTAAGGGAGGGACAGCACCACCCGCGTCCCTCCAAAACATACTTACTTGCTGCATTAATCCCAAGTGTCCTGTGTTCTTCAGTTCTTCTTCATGGATTCTTGTTTCATCGCAACCACACACCACCACCCCCCGGGCAGATTTCGCACTTGGTCACACATAGGCATGTTGTGGGGCTTTTTGTTTTATACTGAAAGAGGAAGATAATATTATTTGGCAAGTTGGGTCTACAAGAATTCCCTTGCAGAGCTAGAGGCACCAATAGGCGGCCCAAGACACCATTTGGTATGTTGTCTACATTTTCACCATGCGGGAGCTTCATCTGCTGCCAGTGAGGAAATTCAGGGCTGAAGTGGCAGAAACAGAAGAGCTCCCCCTAAGATGACTACAGTGGCTGCCTCAAGTCTGTTCTCATTTGTGCTGGGCAGCACCAAGTTTCTGGCTTGTAATCGGAGAATGACAAGGTACAGGGCAGTTTTTAAGCATTTCCCAATGCAGCTTCATTTAGCCACAGTCAGCCAAGGTCCTAGAGGTTTTATCCCTTCACTGCTAGAGTGAAAATGTTTTGATATCATTTTTATATTGTTGTAAACCACTGTGATACATTTTTTAAAATGGTACACTGGTATATAAATATTTTTTATAAATAAATAAATGACTGGATTCCCAGCAAGTGGAGACAAGTAGGCAAATTAAATGGGAACTCACCCCTTCTTGTCAGCCGTGAGGACTCTGCCAATTTTACCATCAAAGGAGGCTTGTCTTCTTAGCTGAATGCTGGGTTCAGTTAATAACCATCAGTAAATATCCAAATCCTTATTATCAGTTTCCCACCATCTCAGTACCCATCAGCATCATGCCTTGCCCAACTGCACCCGTACAATACAAATTGTTTATAAAGTTCTCATCTCACATGTAGCCGAGACACAATTAGCTGGAGGGTTTGTGCAGAGCACCATCCTATTTTGGGCTCTGCCTGTTGATCGTAGGTGAATACTGACTCCTACTTCTGATGTAGCATCCTGGCCTTGCAATGCTAGCTCAGCATTAGGGGGTCATAAGGCCACAGTCATTGTGCCACTGACTTACTTAGTAGGCAGAAACTCATAGAATCAGTCTGCAGGTCCACCGAGAGTATTTTTCAGAAGCTGTCAAAATGTGAATTCAGCAGGGATTTCTAACTCGTGATGCATTTCTGATGTTGAGCAAGACCAAACTACAGATTAAATGAAACACACTTTTTAAGCTGGCACATTTATTTTGAGCCTACAATGGAGGGACTCACAGCATTAATGCCCCAAGCAGCAGCCTTAGATTCAAGCAGAAAACAAGCATCTCTCTCTCTCTCTCTCTCTCTCTCTCTCTCTCTCTCTGTGTGTGTGTGTGTGTGTGTGTGTGTCTATCTGTCTGTCTGTCTGTCTGTCTGTCTATCTCTCTGTCTCTCTGGCTTCTGCCTACTTCTTGCTTCCAGCTCACAGATCCCTAAACTTGGACCTTTGTCTTTATAACTACCAGCCCAAACTGTTCCTTTAAGTTTAAAGCTTTCTGTTTGCAAGTTCAGCACATTTTATTGCTTCTTTGGTCAACAGGGCTGGCGGATTAGTGCGAAATGTTTATTTGGTGAGCTTCCGTTCCACAGGAGGTGGGGGTGCTAAATTGATGGACTTTTCCCATTTTGTTTTCTCTTTCCATTATAGCAAAATAGTAAACAGAAAGCTTTCAGGAAGCAATTACAAGAAACTTTGCTGAATGGCACTTTCATGTGAGTAGATCTTGGTTGTGGAGAAGGGCATTGTTAGTTTAAATAACACTGTGTAACATGCTACACAGGATCTCCATTTCAATTCCATTGCCATCTGATTGTGGAAAAGAAAGGGCCTCAACAGCACTAGAGGCCTCCACTGTGAAAAACAACCCCCATTTTCATCTTCTGACAAAAGAATGGCCGGCATGCGGGAATGCATTTCAATATTAAACCAAAGGTCAGATTCAGGGCTGGCGCTGTTTCCAGTTTGTTCTATAATTGCTAGTTCAAAGTAAAAAAAAATAAATGAACCACAGGGAGTTTAGTTGCCAAGAGCACAATCCACAGGACAGGGAAGGTATGCAGGCAGTGGCAGATGGGTGCCGTGGTTTGAGATCACAAGCCTTTCCTGACATTCCTTCAGGCCTTCATTGCTACTCGGTCTTTTCCAAAACCCTTTCCCCATTATCAGTTCATTATACCTCTCCCCATCCCTATATTGGCCATCTAATAGAGGGGACTCCCCATTTATGTGGGGGTTACATTACGGGCCTCCACGCGCATTTGTGAAATGCACAGAAGTGGGGAGCCTGTCGGAGCAGGGAACTGGGGTGATTGAAGAGGCATCCGAAGTACAGTACCGTACCTTTTTCTTCTACACTGTACCTTTGCCTCCAGATGGCCAGAAAGGACAGGGAACAGTGCCTCTGAGCCCGCTGCAATACAGCTTCCTGCCCAACAGCTGTGGAGCAGGGTAGCAGGCAACAGTAAGAGCTCTCGTGCGCCCTTTTGGAGCCCATAAATTCTTTTTTAAAACACACACACATTAAAAACCTTTATTTTGGAGTTTTGGCTCACTGACATCCTCTTCAGGCTCTGGGGAGGGGCTCCTAACAAGCCACAAGGACTCTCCAGCTCTCTTCTGCCATTTCCAGGTTTGAATTGATTGATTGATTGATTGATTGATTGATTGATTGATCTATCTCCCAGTGCTGCACATATATGAGGTTGTTTGTGAGTTGATTGTGCATAAGTGGGGGGATTTCTCTATACAGTCTAAGTCTTTAGGCATACTGTTGGCAGCTGACATTAAAGAAACGTTTAAACAGTAGTTGTACTAAGAAATACTGAGGTGAGCAAGAGGAGCAGAGCAGAAGCTAAAGTAGACACGGAAGCAGCCAACCAGCAGTTCAACATTTTATACAACTATATATTCCAATAAAATATATTCCATGGGCTCCAAATATAGAAATAGGTTCTCAGAAATATTTTATGTACCTATTACAGTAGTAGCTGTATAATAATAGATTTTGCTTCACTTGACTTTTTAAATTAAGTGCTGTTCATGAGATTTTTGGAGATACATGGCTGACATAACAGCTTTTAAAAAATATTTTTAATTAGATTTTACATAACATATTTCAATTTAAACATATCATTCACCTTCATATTTTGGATTCTCAGAATCCCTGACTTCCCACCATCCTTTTCTGGTTTTCGTTGTCAATCCCTATTTCTTTCAGCTTACCCTTTTTTCCCTAATTTGTTAAAAATATTATTAATTGTTTTTCCATTGTATTTTGTATATTAGAAATATTACTCTATAGATTTTCCCCATTCTTTCTTAAACTTCTTCTCATCCTGGCCTCTGATTGTCCCGGTCAATTTCGCCATTTCAGCATAGTCCATCATCTCCATCAGCCACTCCTCTCTGGTTGGAACTTCGTCCTCTTTCCATTTCTGGACCAGTGGTATTCTCGCTGCTGTCATCGCATACATGAAAAGTATTTTCTGCTCTCTCGGAATCTCTGTACCTAAGGTACCTAATAGTAAAGCCTCTGGTTTTTTCCACAAATGTTATTTTAAACATTTTCTTCAGTACATTATATATCCTTTCCCAGAATGCTTTTGTTACCTTGCACATCCACCACATATGGTAGAACGTGCCTTCTTTCTTTTTACATTTCCAACATACATTAGAAGCAGTTCTATACATCTTTGCTAATTTTACTGGTGTTAAGTACCATCTATACATCATTTTCATATAGTTTTCCTTCAACAAACAGCACGCTAAGGTAAAGGTAAAGGTCAAGGGACCCCTGACCATTAGGTCCAGTTGTGGCCGACTCTAGGGTTGCGGCGCTCATCTTGCTTTATTGGCCGAGGGAGCCGGTGTGCAGCTTCTGGGTCATGTGACCAGCATGACTAAGCCGCTTCTGGCGAACCAGAGCAGCGCATGGAAACACCATTTACCTTCCCGCCGGAGTGGTACCTATTTATCTACTTGCACTTTGACGTGCTTTTGAACTGCTAGGTTGGCAGGAGCAGGGACTGAGCAACGGGAGCTTATCCCGTCACAGGGATTTGAACCGCCGACCTTCTGATTGGCAAGTCCTAGGCTCTGTGGTTTAACCCACAGCGCCACCCGCGTCCCAAACAGCATGCTAGTAAGTTTCAAATCTTCCTTCCATAGTTTTTCCCAAGACAAAAGTTGAATATAACAGCTTTGTTGACTTTCTTCTGCTGAGCATACTTTGGTTTGTATTTCAGTGTGATATCTCCCTTTTTGGAAATGCTGGGCAGGTTCGGTGCACAGAAGGGTGAGGAAAGGCTACTCAATGCCAGCCGCAACTTATATGACTGTGTCTACATGTTTGTTTCTTCCACCAACATCGCCTTCCGGATGCTCAACCAGTTTCTGGGAACTGACCTAGCCATCATTACAGTGAGGGAAAACTTGAGCATCAAGGAAAACCTCCAGCTTCTGATGAGTGCTCTGAAAGAGATGCAGGAAAAAGTGGAGGCCAAAGATCAGGATATCAAGCAAAAAGTCGGCCTTCCACTGTATTCCAGTATTGTGTTGCCTTCCACCTCCACAAATGAAAAAATCCAGCTGATAAAGGACCTTTATGGGAAATATAAGGGAGTTATTGACAATATCAGCGGTCCCGTTTCAGCAGCACTACTGAAAAATGGCAATCTCCCCGACATACTAGACGCCGCCATTCGGGATTTAACAAGCAATCCTGTTCTCTCTCTCAGAGTGGGTGACCTTCTCATGACTAACGAAGAAATTGCCAAAGTGCTTTCAGACGCCTGCCCCACCTCATCCCAGGCAGCAGCTGCAGCAATAGGAACAGCCACACGAACAAGGACTCAGAGCCAACCACTCATTACCACGGCTTTCTCACTTACTAACTTCATGCGGGTGGCTTTTAAAGGACAGCCACCTAGTAAAACGGTTGAATTAGCGGCAAGCACCCTCGAAGACGCTGTGAAGATCTTGAAGCCAGCTTGCGAAAAATTCCAAAGGACTGTGAAGACAGCTGAAGAGTATATCACATTGATAGTGGATAAGTTGCAGTGAACCAGAAGCTGATTGCCCAGCTGGTAGAAAACCGCTTCTGTTTACATGGCAGGGAAGTTGCGCAAATAATAAAGAGACAGTTTCTGATTACGGCATCTGCACTTCCTTCCAGCATTTTTAATGTAAATATTTGAGCACTGCGTTAAGATGGACAAACTAGGTACACTTAAGCTTTTCTAGATTGTAGTACTCAAAAGAGGCACAAGCTTAGATTTCTAGTTTAGCAATCTAAACTAGGTACAACTAGGTCAATATGTAAATAGCTAAATATCTGAAGAAAACTCTGCAGCTAAAAAAAAAAAAACCTTGTACAAAATACTTTTATGAAACGTGTTTTAGATTTGTACATAGCCTTTTCCAGTACAGTGGTACCTCGGTTTATGAACTTAATCTGTTCCGAAAGTCCGTTCTTAAACCAAAACCATTCTTAAACCGAGGCGCGCTTTCCCTAATGAGGCCTCCTGCCGCCGGTGCCCTTCCACTGTTCGGATTCCATTCTTAGACTGAGGTAAAGTTCACAACCAGGACACTACTTCTGGTTTTGCAGAGTTCACAAACCGAATCATTTTGAAACAGGACTGTTCTTAAACCGAGGTACCACTGTAATATCAGTGTCAGCCAGAAAGAAATGTAGGGATGCACATAAGTGGGGGACAAAGGTGCCAGCTCCTGGGGGTGAGGCACTTTCGGGGGGCAATGTGTTCTTAGGGGACAGGGCCCCTCAATATTCAGAGGGCATTCGGCTCCGCCCCCGGCTCTTTGTGACATCTCAGCCATGACGTCAGGACATTGTGTCGGGCCTCCTGGAACATCTTGAGAAGATCACATCTCTAGTGGGGTTTATTCAGCCCCAGAACAGATCAACCTTGTGAACCCTTCCGACTCCCTTCTGTGATTCTCTAATTAGTTAGACAGGACTTACCCTTGTGGAAGCCATGCTGGTTCTTCTTCAGTAAGGCTTATCCTTCTATATGGCATAAGCGAGTTTCCTAGGTTCTAGATATAATCTAAACCAGCAATCTATACTAGCTCCATTCTTTAAAGTGATCCTAAGGAATGAAAGGCATCAAAAACACTGCACTAACATGCTTTAGGATAAATTTATCTTGGGCAGTGTAAAGTATGGAATGAAGATTGTCCAGTACTCCAAGAAAGCAAAGGGACACTAGTACTCTTACCAGGGCAGTTGCGTATAGGGATACTTGAGAAAATTGATGTCCGCAAATTCTGATAGGAACTGATCTACTCTGCACCTTCTGTACTGATGTGTGAACGAGAAGGTACTTTATCCATTGGATTTTGCATTCCTCCAAATGACGTGACATAGCTTGTGCTTCAAAAATTTATTAAAATTCGTATTTTGAGAGGGAACATGCTTAGAAATACACATTTAAATATGTATTTGCATACAATCCTTTTGGTGCAATTTTAAAAAAATGCAGATTAATGTGAAAGCAGAACAGAATTGACTGATGATGAGTGAACACATATGAATGTGACATGGACCAGAAATAGACTGATTCATTATTCATCCATACTCATAAGTGCCTTTTAATTAAGCGATGGTTTCATTGGTGCCTTGAAAGGAACTTGAGTATTAGAAATTGCTGCTCACCATAGGTGAGTAACGAACTGCAACTTTCAAAGAGATGGCTCAATAGATATCGTCACTAACATACATTGATTGGAATGTAATGAACATTAAGGCAATTAATCTACTTGTTTCAGAAATTCTACATTGAACGCTAGCAAGTGGCAATCATGTTGGAAAACTAAAATATAACGTCTTGGGAAACGTGCTCCTAAATTTCCTGCCAAGCTCTCCAAAACAGCTTGAATTAGAAATTGCGGGAGACCGCTCCAACTCTAAAATTATATCTTCATTTTCGGCTGCTACCTTATTCATTAACCAAAATCACCATATGATGGCAGCAGAACAGCAACAATGAATCAGGTAACCGAAAAATTTAGTTTTACATCAGTCTTCTCAAGGATAAAAAGTACCAGGGATGGACATTTAACCAGTGGTTCCAAGTCCTAATCAAACACATGCAGTGCTTTTTTCGGGGGGGAGGGGTACGCATACCCCTAAACATTTTGTGAATCTTTGTACTTTGTACAGTGATAAATTTTGACAGGGCAGCATGCTGAAGATGCTTCAAGGTGTTCACAAGGAAAGCCAACCCCAGAAATGATTGTCGGCTTGGTAGACTTTTGTGCTTACTAACCAATTTATCCTTGCTTGCCCCCACCCCCTTAGCATGGAATGCTGGTTACTTTCCAACAAGTGTTGGCATTTGATTATTCCTAGACATGCTCCTTGCAAAGAGAAGCCTCTAACTGCTTGTGATTTCCTGTCTGGAAAGTGGAAAGACTGTTATTAGGTTTTGCTAGCGAAGGGAAACCAGTCCGATTGCCCTGTGCTCCTTCTGCCCACCCCTACCCCCACCCCAATTGCTTTTAATCTCAGCCTCTGTCCCAGCCAGGTGAGAACAGGAGATGCCCCCTCTTCTTCAGTTTCCAAAGAAATAGCGGTAGGCTGTCTGGAATCCCACTACTTCCGAGTAGTAGTCACAGAGGGGGTGGCTTTCACACTGTTCTTGCTTCATCTCCATTGGGGTTTTGAACCTTTCGTAGTACCTGGAGAACAGAGGGAGGAAGAAGCCACACACATGAGGCGTTCCCTCGTGCAAATTCTTTGGTTCAGGCTGCACAGCATGAAGCCAGTTTTCCGAGAACCCAGTTCAGTACTGGGCACTCCATTTAACTGTCTCCACAATGTACAGTGGTACCTCAGGCTAAGTACTTAATTTGTTCCGGAAGACCGTACTTAACCTGAAACTGTTCTTAACCTGAAGCACCACTTTAGCTAATGGGGCCTCCCGCTGCCGCTGGGCCCCCGGAGCACAATTTCTGTTCTCATCCTGAAGCAAAGTTCTTAACCAGAGATACTATTTTTGGGTTAGAGGAGTCTGTAACCTGAAGCGTATGTAACCTGAGGTACCACTGTATACAGTTGGTGAATTAGGCTATGCACCAACCATACATTTAAAGCACATTCCCATAGACACACACAAAAAAAACTGTAGTTTACCCCTCAGAGCTTCAAGTCTCTTGGGACTCTCCCCACACCACCACCCCTTTCCTGGGGCTTCTTGAAGAAAGAGGGGCCCATATGTTTTCTGTAAGAATCTGCTGCAGTCCCTTGTTAGTGAACCTGTGGTGTTGCATAGGCTCATATCTTGTCCCCGCCCCCCATGAACCATGCACATCTATTTTCCAAGTATTGTACTCAACAGAGGCATACTCACAGTAAAACCCACTGAAATAAATGAACCTCAGTTAGTCAAGTCTATTGATTTCAGTTGATCTACTCTGAGTGTAACTTGGTTGGCTACAACCACAAATTAGTAATTGTAAACATCAATATTAAACCCAGAAGACTCTTACTCTTACCTTTCATAATATGGAGAAGACCTCTTCTGCCTTCTCACAAAGGCATTGGCGGTTTCTCGACTGATCTTAACCCCTGTTATGAACGCAGAATGTTGTGGAATGAGAATACAGAGAGTATTGAGTTCAATGAGTCTCATTTTAGCCAGGCGAAAACACTCAAGGAGGGTGAGAAACAGGATCCGTGAGGAATGTGGCCTTGGAAAAAGAGGTGGGGCTGGGGAAGGCCATGTAGAGATACTTGGGTTCCCTGCTCCTCTATAGGAATGCTCACTGGTCTTCAACTGGTGGGTCATGGCCTGATCCAAGGTGGGTCACAACAGGAGGACCACCACCATGCAAATATATGGTAAAAGATTAAGAAATGGGTTCCCACATGCATGGGATAAAAGTGGGTCCTGGGTCTGAAAGAGGTTGAAGACACCTGCTCTAGATAACTGTGGGGTTTCATTTCAAATATCGCCCAGGACCAGCCCGAGACATTCTGCTGCCTGAGGCAGAGCAGCAAATTCTGCCTTTCCTGCCTCAACTCATGCCATTTTGCACCCAAGATGAGTCAAGTTATTTTGGCACCTGAGGCAACCCCCCCCAAAAAAAAAAACCCCACCCCTCCCTGGTAGTATAATTGCAGCAATCATAAAGGAAACAACTAACAATTTGCTGCCCTTCCATGACACCCAAAACCAGCTGCCTGTGGTGGCCACCTCATTCTCCTTAATGGCAGGGCCGGCCCCAGAGCAGCCTTTTGCTGCCCATCCAGCTCATCATTTGTGCCACAATACCTCTCACACGTCTCAGGTAGTGGCTTATGAATGGAAGATTTCCCATCAGTTCTGGAAACGATGCTGTTAGTTGCCTATGAGTACTCATCATGAACCAGTAGTGCCCTTCTGCAGTTTTTGTGATCTTGCTATTATAGATTAGCAAGATATCATTTGGAGTTTGCAAATTTCTCAAAGCTATTGGTCAATTTTTTCCATTTAATTCAATGGTGCTTTGAGTTGTCTGTGGCTTCTTTCCTAAAACAGCAAAGAATCTTGCAGCAACTTCAACTTCAGGGCTCAAAAGACTAGCAGGCCTAGTGCAGCTGAAGTGCTTGTGGACATTCACCAGGTGGTATCTGACAAAGCGGCTTCTAAGCCAGGAGAACTTATGTCACAGTCGGTCGCACCCACACACCATACGTTTAAAGCACATGAAAAGAATCCTGGGAATTGTACTTTGTTGAGAATGCTGGGAATTGTAGCTCCGTGAGGAGAAAACTACAATTTCCAGGAAACTTTGTGGGGAGATGCATGCTTTAAATGCATGGTCTGAATGTGACCAAAAAACATTTCTGCTGTTTTTGCTGCAGCAGACTAGCATGGCAACCTTTCTCGAGGTTTATTTCTCAGTCTTTTAACCAGACTAACAGGCAAGGAAGTATCCAGCTGCCTTGCTAACAGGGGGCTTATTCACTGGGGGAATAATCAGGAAATTGAGTTCATGCCAGGTATCTTATGGCACCTAATTTTTTAAATAAAAAAATAAATAAAATAAAATCACTTTAAGCGGTGCCAGAAAACACAGGCTTCCTTGTAAACGCCCTCCATTTTATTTGCCTCTCTGGGGAATGTGAGCCTCAAAGCAATATTATTCATCATACTCTGCCTCCATGTGTGAGGCCAGCAGGGACTTCAAGAGAGCCAGAAGAGGCTTTTCCCTAATGGACTTTTAGCAAACCTAGAAGGATGGAAAGGGCAAGCCAAGATCCTGAGCTAGGAGTGGGGAACCTTTTCCAGTCCAGGGGCCACATTCTCTTCTGGGCAATCTTCCAGAGGCCGCATCCCAGTGATGGGCAGAGCCAGAGGCAAAAGTGGGTGGAACAATAAATGCTAATTTTACTTTGCACCCTAGGCTCATTTCTACACACATTCACACATCCCTCTGCCCTCCATTCAGCTGCCCTTCAAATTTCACACTTCTCTGAATTTTGTAATGCAGTCCTCCAACCAAGTAATGTGTACAAAAAAGGACAGAGATGCCCTTGAGAGTTCTTTGCTCTCGTCAGTTTCTTACCTTCATCCAAGGGCCTGTTCATATCTGAAAAATATAGACCAGATGGTGTAAGACACCTGGCAGTCTTGTGGTCTTCCTCCTCCCTTCCTTTCCACCCCCATTTCCCCCATCAGTCAAATGTTAACTGAGGAAAATAACGCTTAACTCAGGCTTGCTTCTGTATTATCCAGGAATTATTCAAAGGCAGTGGCGTAGCGTGGGGGGTGCAGGGGGGGCCGGCCACACCGGGTGCAACATCTGGGGTTAGGGCAAATCCACAGGTTAGGGGGCGCAAATCCACGGGTTAGGGGGCGCAAATTACTTGCCTTGCCCCGGGTGCTGACAACCCACGCTACGCCACTGTTCAAAGGGGAGGACTTACACACATGTCAGTGTTTATGGGTTCTCATATATGTATTTGAGCAATTTGTGAGTTATATACAAAGTGGCAAGGTAATTCCCAGTCCCCTCACTAAACTACATTTTCCAGGGTTCATGAGGGGTAAGGAAGCCATAACAGTGTAACTGGTATCAAACCAATATAAAGATATAATGTAAATTTGACAATCTTAATTGGAAGTCCACTTCACCCATTATTCTAGCACTGTGGTGGCCACACACAAAAACACCAAGCTATGTGAGCCCCTTTCTGCCTGCTTCAATGCTGTGGCTAATAAACTGGCCTGAACCTCAGTTTTACAAAAGTGGGACTTCCATGCAGACATGTTCCTGATGGCAACCGCACTGCCAGGTCTAAAGTGGCTTTGAGGAAAGTGATTCTGTTCCTAAAATGTAAGACTGAAATAGGTTGTCCTCCTCTCCCCAGGACTCCGTCAGTTTTGAATGTTGATGAAAAAATCATGGCTAGGGGGTCTCATATATATTCCCTTACCTCCATCACAACAGAAGAGGGCTGTCAAGACCAGGGTTACAAAGAGCAGCACCTGAAGATTCCCCATCTTCTCCTGTTTGCAGAAGGTCCTTTCTATGGCTCGATCTTCTCATGAAGGAAGCAGCAATTTATCAGGAGCTTTTGTCTTTCAGCCACGGCTTATATTCTGAGTCTCTTAAGTGGAGCAGGTCCCTGGCCAGGAAGTCGCTGACTCTCTGCCATTCTTATGTCCTGGTCCCAGTTCCAAACTTTCCATTTGGGTCAAACGACATCTGGTTCTGGCAGCCATTTGCACATCTGCCCGAGGCCAAAGGCTTGTGGCGTTTCCAGAGGACTTTCGAGACTCTCGCAAATTTCTTTTAAGGAAAAGCAAAGAATATAAAACAGCTGAATGACAAACATCCTGCTGGACGGGGAAAGCTATTCCAGCTGGGTTGAGGAAAGGCACCGGAAGATCCAAAGTATCTTAAGGCAGGCAAGCCATAAGTTCCCAGAATTCTTTAGCACTGTTAAGGTGGTATGAGAGTGTTTTAAATGTAAGTGTGGGTGTGAAATTTAGATTGTGAGCAAGAGGACAGGGAGTGTCTTAGAACCATTTTATTTTTTATTTTTTAGCTGCTCTAAGAGCCATTTTGGCTAACAGGCAAGGTGTAGATGCCAGTAAAATAAACAATCAAACAAATAAATAATGAAGGCTCTGCACTAGCTTTTCAATCTTGATTTTCCCACAAGTCAGCATGCCCATGCCTTTGTTCTTTTGCAGCCTCCCTTGTTTGGAAAGCAGAAATCATCCACCATCTGATGCAATATTCTAGGACTGGACTGGCCAACTGGCAGCCTGCAAGCTACAGCTGTCCACCAAAGCAATATTATCTGACCTTTGATAAATCTAGTTAGGATGTAGTTTTAAAAAGTAGCTCACTTTCACTCATCTGGGGAAGAAAACTGTTTTCAAGTTGCATGAGAAGGAGAAATATTTAAACCCTTTGCTGCTGCAGGTTCTTTTGTGGATTTTGTATAGTTGCACATTCCTTTTTCAGGCAGATTAGCAGCCCAGGGATGGTTCATCGGTGCGCCAGGAAGTGGTCTCTTGATAGCTGGACAACTCTTTCAAGGAGTTGGAATGAGACAGCCACCAGAGCTTAGGGAAGGCGACATCGCTCCTCTTGACATCGGGGAGCCAAGTGTCTCTTTGTGATGAAAAAGCAGTTTGTAATTTGGAAGTGACCCGAACGAGATGAGGGAATGTGAGAGAGTTGTGGCTTCCCCTGCCCATCTCCACTCTACTTATATATTTGTAAGTAAAATAAGCTATTAGAAACACAGTGTATATCTCCTGTGTTCTCTCATCAAAAGGAAACCCAGATTAAAACCTTGGAAACACATTATGGCTCAGAGAAGTCAGGAGCCTCTGACAGCGTGTGATGTCCCAGCTCTGATTGAGTGCATGTGCAGTACCCTAACTATAAGGTTCATACCACAAATAGGGAGCTGGTTCCAATTTTATTATGATTCATGAGAGAGCCAGTAAACTGGATCAGTGCCTAGGGAACAGAATTCCCCCCCCCAAAAAAATGCAGAAATTGGTTGCCTCTTTTCTATGATAAGTTGATAACAATTACTTATCTTTATTTTGAAATAGTTCTGATCTTTCCATTGTCAAGTTTAGACTTTACGCCATCACTTAGGACCAGATTTATTCCCCCCCCCAAACTATTTGCATTCAAACAACAATTCTCTTTGTACTTTGGATCTTCAGACAAGTAGCCAAGGAGAACACGAGGGTTTAAACAAATCGACGTGTTCTCCATTTACTTGGAAAAATGCTATTATTAGTGTTGGCTTGCAATTCCAACACCATGACATGAAAGCAGAGCGTTTGTTGGCCCCAGTAATCTTTGGCTACTTTGGAGAAGTTTGCTTAGTTAATCACTTAATGCTACCCAGCAACTAAAGTGTACTCGTACTCGCAAGCGAAGATGGATGGATTGCTTTGGAGGCCTCTCTAACCAAGATGGCAACTCTCTCTCTCACACACACACACACCCCAATAAAGAAAAGCGGAGCTGCGGAATCATCAAATTATTCCCATTCGGAAAAATGAAAAGGGCACACTCTCTTGGATCCATCACCTTTTTATTATTAATTTATTCATCATCATTATTAATACTTTTTCATTATTTACAGTATATAGCACCACAGACTTTCCTTATCTGAGTGCTTCATGTTCTGCAATGTATTTGACCCCCAGAGTGAGGCCACCGTGCCAGAGCATTCTGGAAGGGTAAAAGCTGTCGAAGAGGTGTAGGGCGGGGAGGTGCACGGAAGGAGCGAACCTGGACGGTTCGCTTTTGAATTCACAAAATGGAATTCCCCAAGCCTCCCTAAATAGAAGGTGAAACACAGGTTCAAAGTTATGCTGGGTGACGATGATAACTGGAGGGCAGTATGCTGCCCTCCAAAATGTGGAACATTTCAAAGTCTTTGTGTGTAATGCCAGCATTTGTGTCACCTGAAGCCCATAATTTAATATGCGTCACAGTACATTTTGAGGCATGTACACACTAGGCCAGGGGTCAGCAAACATCAGCAGGGGGCCGGTCCACTGTCCTTCAGACCTTGTGGGGGGCCGGACTATATTTTGAAGGGAGGGGAAGAACTATGCCCCACAAATAACCCAGAGATGCATTTTAAATAAAAGGACACATTCTGCTCATGTAAAAACATGCTGATTGGGCCGGATCCAGCCTCCGGGCCTTAGTTTGCCTGCCCGTGCACTAGGCGATATTGTGCATCCAGTGCTGGGTGCAAGCAGCTTTTGAGGGGTACATCATCCTCGGGTCATCCCTCTCACACACTGTTTGTCAACCTGAAGTGCATTCTGCTGGAGAACTTGTACAGTCTACATCTCAAGGGCTTGTTGCCTACAGGAGTACACAGAGAGCGCTTTCTCAACATCCTGACGTTGCAGAGCTGTGTCATTTCCCCCTCACCATGTTTAACTTGTCTGTGAATGAAACATGAAAAATAGGAAGCAGTACAGTATCTTAGCTGCCTCTGTATACTGATTATATATATATATATATATATATATATATATATATATATATTCCATACATCAGCATATCAACATATCATTTTCTAATTCCTCTCGTTCGAAAGATTCCAAGTATATGTATGTGTGTGCATATAATAACAGTATATTATTTATACCCCACCCATCTGCCTGTGTTTCCCCATCCACTCTGGGTGACTCCCAACAGACAATTAAAAACACGATAAAACATCTAGGAGGACTTGTGGGCTACGCACTGAGGTGATGGGACAATCATCTCAGTGTACAATGACCCCCAAAAGGTTATTCACCAGAAATTTAGAAAACAATTAGGAAATTACAGCTAAAAAGGCCAGGGAGGAGATGGGAGAGAATGAACCAACATGCTTCTTACACCCTCTCAATTTTCAGTCTAAGCATATATCGTGTGTGAGAGTATATTCTTTAAAAAGCTCTGTGGGAACACTAATTGAGGGGAGGGGGATTAGAGAACATCATTGTACACTAGTCTGAAGCGTGCCCACCCATGTGTACAGGCAACCTGAATATTAGATGATGCTACCACACCAAAGATCTGCATGATTGCAAACTGCTATGTACAAAGCTCGCTGCAAAGACAGGCCCCTGTGTGTCTCAAAGGCTATGTATGTACACAGCCCTACCACCTTATAGCACGCATGCCTGGATGGTCTACCTCTGTCCGCGTCACTTCCATCTTTCCAGTTCTTTGAAAGGGACCCACCGTAGACTGAAGGCCTAAATGCTTGACATTGCACATATTTAACAAATATAAAAGGCTGCTGTGTGTTTTAATGTTGCCACATTTAAAGGAAGGAATCCAAACTTCTGTGGTCAGTAGCGGGCTGGAAATATATTTACATAATCACTTAAGACTGGCACCAGCTTTGGGGCTCTGCCCGTTCCTTTGGCGTTGATAAACATGCCACATGGGTGCACTGAGTTCATGTGTATGAGTGAGTCCATGGGTGGCCTCTGCATGGTTTGGGGAACTAATGCTTGCGATTGATTTGGGATGAGATGGAAGCAAAGTTAGGTCTCCTAGAACGTGCTCGTCTCGTTTGGATATTTCCAAATATTTGTGGCTTTGGTTGCAGGGCCATAACTTTTCACAGTATAGCTCTATCTGTTGAGAGCCAAAGGCACTGAGGCAACGAAACGCCCAAGGTTGGGCTGGCAGTCTCAAAGGCTACTACAGAAGAGCCTTCTCAGAATAGCATGTACTAGTACCTACTACGAGTAGTAGGCACTCAGAGAGAGTTTGTCTCTACCGAACATGTACTATATTACTTGTAGGTAATCCAGAATATTTAACACTGGACACCCACAACTTACTGGCAACCAGTTCTGTGGTACAGGTCTCCTTCTCCTCAGGGCCGTAGCTAGGGGGTGATGAGGTGGGCCCCCGCCAGGGGTGCAGGCAAGAGGGGGGCACAAAATTGGCTAAAAATATGTCCATAAATATGTCTCTATAAATAAAAATATCAATTATTGCCTCATAAGAAAAGGTTTTAATTAAAGGTTGAATTGAATGGGGGGGTTGGAGGAGAGGCAGAAAGAAGAACTAATTTTTCCATGGGTAGGGGGCACAATCTGGACGGTTCTGCCAGGGGTGCAAGATCACCTAGCTATGGCTCTGTTTCTCCTTGGAAGACTCTGGTGGAGAGAGAAGCAAAAAGGGGTTTCTTACAAGTGAGACATTCAGACTTTCTGGGTATTGAGATTGTTCTGATTCATTTCTTACAGTAGATTGCAGGTAGCCAATGTGGTACCCTCCAGATGTTGTTGGGACTACAATTCTCAACATTCTTGACCACCCGTCATACTGGCTGGGGATCATGGGAGCTGTAGTCCAACCACACCTGAAGGGCACCATATTGGCTACCTCTACAGTCTATTATCGCGAAAGGCCTAGGGCGGACATTTTGTGTGGCAAATTCTAATGCATACAGCTCTCCTTCCTAATCAGGAAACTGATTCATGCTTTCTGTATCTCCCAACTCCTTCTCTTCCCTCCACCTTCTGTATTGTTTATCCCTGTCTCTTGTACATGCCATCCATCTCTACTTATCATGGGGATGCAAAGTCCACCTCCTCCTCTCTTTTTCTCCTTGACGCTTGGTGTTTTTCTTGCACGCCACCTTCTTCTCTCTCCCCGCGCAGGCATCTGACTCTTCCCTCTTTGGAGGCTGCTCTATTTGCTCCATGTGCAATGGAACAGAAGATTTCACTAGCCAAAAGCATCAGCCTCAGTTCAGAGGTGGGCGAGGCACTTAAGAATGGGTCAGGAGGATCCTGACGTTGGTCTTACCAGGGTTGTCTGGTGAACTTTGGTCCAAGTGCCAGGGGCTGAAAAAGGAAGAGCCAGCAATACTCAGGCACAAGATCACCATCACATCGTCGTGGGGGCTTTTGCAGCAGTGCAGACTTGGTCTTGTCAGGCAAATCTAGCAGCCTTCACTGGCTCATTAGGGGAATCTCTTGTTTTCCTTTGGGCCTCTTTGTCCTTGTTATAGTTCACACTAAATACAAGATGAGGTGCTAACAGGTATTAAAGGTGTGAATTTGTGAAGAAAGAAGCAAATAGCTGCACCGGCTAGATGAAGGAGTTATAGGTTATATAGCACATGTCAATACTACAGTAAGGAAACTGCAGTTATGCTACTCCAAGTCACAGAGTTTTACCCAATGCAACACTCAGTTATGGTCCCATCAGTGCAAGGATCTCCACTTGTGCCATAGGACCTCCCTGCATAGCCCCCTACATCTGCTCAAGAAACTCCTCCGATCCTCTGGAGCAGATTTGGGCAGGGCCTGTGTCATGCCCAGGGGGGAAATCCATTGCTCAGGCAGAAATCCTAGTGCCTACAGGATGTATTAGTTGGATCCACCCACAGTCTGCAACACTTTTAACTGCTGGTATCTTCAACCCGGACATACTGGTAGTCAACATGGTGCCTCCAGATGTTTTGAACTACAACCCACATCATCCCTGACCATTGGCTATGCTGGCTGTGGTTGATTAGAGTTGTAGTCTAGCAACATCCAGACTCACCATGTTGGCTACTCCAGCCCCAACCTATGTAAAACCAGTTGCTCCATAACACATTCTCCCTTTCAATTTTGCATAGACCTTGACAGCCCAGTCTTATCTTTCCTGCTCTGTTTTCTGGATCCCAAAATTCCTTACAAGCCTTCTTGCCTACTGGCCTGCCTAGGTATGGGCTAATCGGTCAGCTAGATTTGTATCTTCTATATTGAGAGATAATATATTCAGAGATAATAAATCTTCTAAGTTGGAATTGAGTAAGACTCATGATCTCATGGGTTGGAGCCCCATGTTGGGTGAAAGAATCCTGCATGGCAGGGGGTTGGACTAGGTGACACTCAGGGTCCCTTCCAACTCTACAATTCTGTGATTCTATGATTCTATTTCCACATCAGTTTGAGAATGTCTTAGCCCTCATGAAAAGGCATCAGCCTTTTAGTGCAAATTTCTCCTACGAACACATTTTGCAAAGCAATTTCCACCAATATATGCATTTTTATGCATACTAGTACATGCATCTTTGCACACATAACTGGAGAACTGCACTGCAAAATTCAGAAAAGTGTGAATTATGAAGAATGGTTGTGTTTTGGAAAGTGTGAGTTAAGTAGGTTCACCTTTAAATGCAAGCTGAATCCCATTTCTCCCCATTCCTAGCCCTGCCATTGGCCTCTCCAGTCCTTTTTTAGTTTGCTGGCCCCAGCCTAGAAAATATTGTGCATGCTTGATCTGAAGTTCTTGACAGTAACCTGAGGGAGAAGCATTCATTGGAAGGGGTTGCTGGTTCAGCTTCATAGTTAAACAGATCTCTATAATGTAATTTAGTGTTTTGTGAGGTTCTGCATGGACTGAGTCAATGTATAAGCAGGATGTGGTTTAATTGGGCTTTCCTCTATATTGGTGACTGTGACATTAGTCCACCTCGAAGCTGTGTGGTGTAGTGGTTAGAACAGAGGTAGCCAACATGGCGCCCTCCAGATGCTGTTGGACTTCAGCTCTCATCATTATAAGCCAACATCACCAATAGCCAGGGATGATGGGAATTGTAGTCCAACAAAACATGGGCAGCACTATGGTGGATATCTCTGGGTTAGAGCATTCATTATGAGGTAGGGAATTCAAATCTGAGTTCAAATCCCTACTCAGCCACAATGCTTCCTCAGTGTCCTTGGCCCAGTCCACGGGAAGTGTCGGGGGGGGATGCAGGAATAAATATCCCCCAAACAAGGAGTTCACACCCCACTTGCCCCCACATTGCTGGACTCCAGTCATTAACATGTACTATAATTTTTCTTTAAGAGATCTTATCATGTGGGAGACAATTCATATACTTTGCCCTTCCTGCGCACACCCACCCTGAAATTTGTCCTTCTGCTGCCTCTGGTTCAGCCAATGTTCCTCCGTTTATCTTGCCTCAAAAGGCAATCATGAGGATAAAAGAGGAAGATCATGCCTTGACCTCCTTGGAGGAAGGCTGGGATAAAAGTGTATAATAATAATTATAATTATAACCCAAACTAAAAAGCGGCAGGCTTTTGAGAGCTTGAATACTTCACAACATTGATCTTATAGGTGATCCAAAAGGGAGACCAGCTTAAAAAGACTGGTGGAAACCATAAAAATATGAGTGAGTTTGTAACTGACTAATATGAAAGCAACAGAAGTTCCCACATTCTAGGCAGAATGTAGAGTAAATATGCAAATGTGCAGTGGGGCCACGAGTTTCTGTGTCCACTCACCACCAGCATGCAACCCCTTTTTTCTTAAGTGGGAGGATTGTGTGTGTGTGTTATCAGTGGCATCGCAAGGGGGGGTGCGCCCCGGGTGCCGTGTCTGAGGGGGTGACAAGAAGGCACCCCTTAGGGTGCTTGCCCCACTGCCCCCAGGTGTGGCGGTGCAAGCAGCCATCACGCCACCACAGCCGCATGTGAAGGATCCTCCGTTTACGGCTGCAGCCGCGAGCAGAGGATCCGGCCATCGTCCGTACGGCGCTCGGGCGGCGCCAGCGGCAAACCGCTACGTACAGCACATGCACGGTGTCACACGCATGCACTGTACGTAGCGACGCTGAACATGCACCCTGTGTAGCGACGCCACGCATGTGTCGTACGTAGCGGCGCAACGCATGCGCAGCCGGCGCTTTCCCCTGCCCCAGGTGTCAGTTAGCCTTCGTTCGCCCCTGTGTGTTATATCAATGCACATGTATACAAAAAATTTGCCCTCCATAGCATACGTACTACAACTGCTGTGCAGTACCACTGTTCCACCATGTGCTCAGTGAACACACTTTGGTGAAGGTGTGAATATGCCCAAATCTGATTCAAACATTTCTGTAGCTACTTGCATCATTCAACCTGCTTTAGGCCATTGCCAAATCAGCCATCCAGGCCAGGCTATTATTGTGTGAAAGAACAATTTTACTGCCATTCCTAGAGTCCATCCAACAAAACAAAACAAAAGTATCTGTTAGTTGTTTTTTTAAACTGCTAAGCAAGTGAGTACAATTATCGACGCCAGTTTCTTGGCATGGGAGTGACCCAAAGAAAACTCTTGAGTTTCGAACAAACAGTATCAAACCAGAAGTTTATTTCATAATAAACACCCACATCCTTCTTTGCCCAACCACCACTACGTCAGCATTGTGCTAATTAACACAGAATCTAGAAATCATTAGCTACAGAAGAATGAAGCAGCAGGTGGGATAACATACAGTTAACAAGCAACAATACATTTTGGAGATGTCACTCTTTGTAGATACAGGAAACCCAGGCTCCAGGCACTGGGAACGGCGATTCTTGATGTTCTTATTTGCCACGTCTGTGCCCAAAGAAGCGCCTGTAGGCAGAGGCATAGCCATAGCGCATGGCGTAACGCTCACAGGGATTGTAATCTTCGCAAATCTCCCGCTGCTGTTCCTGGGGGGTCTTGTTGCGCTCTCTGATCCTGCTCACAGTCGCAAGAGGGGAAGATGGGAAGGGGGGTGGAGAGACAAAATATTATTATGACTTGCATCTACTTCCGCTTTTCCAGCTGCATATTTGCAAGGCTTTAAGTGATTTCTAATTCTGTCCACAAGCACGTGCAAAAAACCTCTGCAAAGTCTTGAAAGGGTTTGTCATTTTTTAGAAATATGGCAGCTTTCACACAAATGTCCTCTATGAAAATGTGGGTGACACTGTGCAGAGTCTGACCCTGAGATGAAAACATGTGGGCAGGTGCTGTTTCTATGGCTTAGAAGCGGTGCAGAGTGGAGAGTAGGATACATGCAATAGGATCCTGGGGCAATTATGCAGAGGATCTAGTGGAGATTTTTGATATTATCACAGGGTCCTGGGGGCCATTCCATTAAGGATCTAATAATAGGGATCATGACTTTGCCATTAGCAATGTGTCATTTTCGGATTCTCCCAGTTTACCATTTTCCAGTTCAGTTCATTTTCCAATGGCTTCTCTCTTGCCTAAGAAAAGACATCCTCTCCATTCCCCACTCACTATGAATAACTCTGGACACTAAGAAGACGTACCTTTCCTGCACAACTTGGTTCCTCCTGTTCTCAGGTGGAGTTCTCATGAAGATGTTGGCGTGCCTTCTGTTAATGAAGGGACCTGGAGGGATAGGTATTCATCATTATTATGAGGTTGAACCAAAGGCCAACAGTTCTATACAAAGAAAAGCATTGCTCTCTTCCCGTATCCTCCCAATATCAGTCTTTGTGTTGGCCAATACAACCAGCTTGGTCTATACATTCTTGCCTTTCTGCTGTTAATAGCGACTCATGCCCTCTCACTTCCAGTTTTCAATGGGCACTTTCAGATGGCCAAAAGCCATTTTTGGCTACAGCTAAGTCTTAATGCATGAAGGAGGCTACTGTAAGAGGTGAGACTGATGAGTTTCTCCAAGAACTCTGCAACAAAGGACAGCAGGAGAGAGGGACAGTGGTGAAGGTAATGGCAGAGGGCAGGTGAACAAGTAATACTGATGGGCAGGATTGCACACTTTCACCAAATATGCCATCACCATTTCTCCACACCGGTTGAGTCAAAAGCACTGCGCCGGTTGACGACGGAAAGCTCTACAGTGCTGCTGCAATGCAAGCTCTAACCAATTTTACAACAGCACCTTAAGCAATCAGAATCATAAGCAGAAGAAACACAGGAATGCAACAGCCTGGGAGGACCCTGTTCTACATTCTCATGAACAAATTAAAGAAATAATGTTGGTGCTGAAGAGGACAGAGGGAGGCTAGGTAGCTTCCTCTAGTTCTTAGACATAAGCGTAAGAATGGCTAAGGAGTGTCACATCCAGTTGGTTCCCGCAGTGCTTTCTTTGGGCTAGATTGAATTAGTGCTACATGATTGTGGCTCCATCATCTCCATAGAGACATCACCCCACACTCTAATTGAAATAGATCTAATATTTTCCCTTGCATAAATATCCTTCTTGCCACATCACTTTTTCCTTTCTTGGCATTTATATATTTGCCAACACTTGTGTGTGGTTAATCTATCAGTTTTCATTTGGCCAAGATAGGCGCAAGTTAATCGGTTCTGCTTTGCGATTTCAACAACTCAGTGTCTGCACTATGTGAAATATTTTGTTGTGTGTGTTTTTCCCTCCGTGAGTTACGCAGCTGAATGAAATATTTCTGGTATTTAGGACTTTCAGGAAAAATACCCAGCATCAGTAGCCCTCGCCACTACGGCCACAGAAATAAAAACAGCCACCATCCTCTCAGTCTAAAACTCTTCTGGCAAGCTCAAAAATCACTCCAGAAGTTTCAGACTACAACTCCCATCATCCCCACCCAGTATGAACAGTTATCAGGGATAGTTGGCATTCTAGTCCGAAAGATCTGAAGGACAGCAAGTGGGGAAAACCTTTCCTAGAGAAGATGGGCATATTTAGGGACAACAGTTAAGCTTCATATTGCAGACAGCGCTTAAAGGTGGATCCTGGATCTGAAAGGATTGGAGTCCTATCCTGTTTTATTTTCATCTCAAGAGCTCTTGAAAATTAACTCTGCAACTGCACATCTGCATTTTGCATCCTATTTGTCAAGTGACTCAGTGTCTATCTTTCCTATTTCTCTTTATATTTTCCCTAGTTGTTTTAATTTGACTTAAAAGCCCCATATCTTTGCAATGAATCAACCCCCCCCTTACCTTTACTTCTAATTCATAATTATTTAACAGCCCAAACCTACGTACGTTGACTTAAGTTGCTGGAAGCAAACCTTGCTGTGTTCAGTCCTGGGCAAGAACATATAAACTTGCCACCTAAGGGGTCAGACATGCTCCTGCGAGTGTTTCAGAGGCCTGTGGGCTAGCTGTGCAGGTCTTTTCAGTTCATGGTAGTCCCTTGCTGGTCTACCAAATGGTTAGGTACTGGAACAGGGCTTGCATGAGTTGTGAAATCTGCAGTGTTGACTTTCTGCACTGAGAATGAAGATGTCCCAGGGGGGAATACCCCTTGCCTTGCCCTTCCCCAGAACACAGTTTGCACTCCACATCGGGAACACAGGCTGTCTGCAGTAGTGACTCCCTCTAACAGCAAACCAGCATGATGAGAGCCACATGATTAAAACCAAAATGGGATTGCTAAGAAACAAAGGAGAGATATTTGCATGCTCAGGGGTTTACAAACACACACACCTTACAAAAAAAAACACCCACTGCCAATAGCCACAGGATGTTAAGCTTCTTTTCCAGCTGAAGGTCCACAGTCTGTAACTACAGTATTGAGCATGCTGAGATTGCTCTCTTGGCAAATGAGGAACTGGGGGAGCAGGGAAAGGAGTGGTGGAGTGCCATGACTGGAAGAGTGGCTGAAACTGTGAACAGGAGCACTTCTAGTGAGAAGAAGGATAAACTGCAACATCTAGTTGCAGGTCTCACTGGTTATTGTCTGTTCTCATCCTGCCAATCTCAGAATTGCCTCTACGAATTCAGAAAAGGCATTGCAGAATGCAGGAAAGGTAATAACATGGTTTGATACTCTTATGTGTCAAAAATTCTGTACCTGTGGAAAACTAGTGTATCAGGGAGGGCAGGTATAGTCTTTCTTTGTCCCTAACTTGCTAGATGTCAACATGCAGATTATTTATTTCATGGTGGAGCAATCAAATGCAGCATTACCCTTGACTGGACAGATTGGACAGACTGAAGGCAGGGAAGTAATGGTGGAGCATTCCTTAATTTTTATTCCCTGGATTGAGCAGAGGAAAAATATTTTACAAGGATCTCATAAAGTGGCATGGCAAGAGAATTTGGGTTGTCCACAAAATCCAAAAAGTGAACCTCAAGCATCACAGTAAATAAATCATAATAATGTTTCTTACTTGTAAATTCATGCGATTCAATACTCTCGTGAGACTCTGTGACCGGGAAAAGAAAACAAGGCAGTGTGTAAATTCATTGTTAACAAAACAAAGAAGGATATACATGAAAAAAATATAAGAATAGCCTTGCTGGACCAGATCAAAACTGTCTTGTCCCTAATGTTGCCTTCTAACATAGCTTACCAGATGCCCCAGTCCAGTTCACAAGCAAGGCATGATGAGGTCCATAATTCCTTGTTGTTTGTTCACAGTGTCAGAGATACACTTCTACTGGACATGAAGGTTTCATTGTAAGCTACTATGAATTATAGCTAACCAGTGCTTTTTTTCTTTAAAAAAATGTTTAGGGGTTCTCTCATTTTCCTATTCATATTGAAATACTGCCCCTCAATGAGGCCAAACTTAGATTCACAAAATGTTTAGGGGTTTGCGTACCCCTGCATCCCCCCAGAAAAAAGCACTGTAGCTAACAATAGATGTAGCCCCTTAAAGAATACATTGATTCCTCCGAAAAGCCATTTGTGCTAGTGACAATCATAGCATCAGATAAAACCAATGCATCAATCAAATGGAGGAATAAGAAATAACGCTATGATCTTTTGGTTATGGTATGGAACTGGAATCAGAAGAATCTTTGAATGTTCTCCATTTCAGTGGTAGACATAGAAGTGCATGTTTTAAGTTTCCAATGGAAATGAAGGGAACATAAAAATGTACAACTGTATAACTTTGGCCTGCGTTCCTGAATGCATTTATTTTGCGATTCCTGAATGTATGCACTTACCCTTTCCATTTTCATTTATAAAATGTTGCACTGACTTAGTTTATCATGGTTGAATGTTTAATATTTATTAGATCACATTGATAAAATATATAATAGTTCTCAGAATAAAAGAATGCCAAGAAAAGTACAAAGCAATGGACACAGATTGTTATTTTGGGGTTAGATAGTAAATCCCACCTAACATAAATCACAGAGTGGCAAGTATGAAAGGTACCAAAAATCTAACCAACCAAAATTTAGCAATTTGGCGGAAGCAGACACAACCAAATCATTTTTGATAGGCTGCTCACATTATAACATTCTATCTCAAATCAATCCAGTTCACATAATTGTGCCACAAGAAGGAGGGAGAAACAAAATATGTATTCAGAGCAAGAATAAACATATAATTATAGGAAGACAAATCCTAACCATTCAAGGGAGCAAGACCTGATTTGGACTCTGCCAGTGAAGGGAACTGACAATCCCAGTGAAGATGCTCACCAATTGTACACTGGATAACTTGCTTTCCAACCTCAGACAAGATAAGCCACTTGTCTAGGACTTCCCCATCACTCCCATTTGCCCATCCCTGAGGTTTCAAAAGAAGCAGTTGGAATTTCTGGAAGGGACAAGTGTTCTTCTTTAACCCAGTGGGCTACTCATGAAGAATCGTTCGATTGAAATTCATCAAAATTCATCTTATTGATCTACCCCACAGAGAATCTGGTAGTCCTTTAACACAGTGAATGGGCCGCTCTCGTTGAAAAAGCAGTCTGTGCATTTTGAAGACAATTGGAAAATCTGCCCCTAAGATTTTCTAGGCTAGCAGCAGAGGTTTCCATTGTGTGTGCATGTCCCACACAAACATTCCCTGGTGGTGGTTAAGATAAAAAGGGGTTGTGAGTGATTGAGAACAGAATGGTTTGTATCAGGCATGAAATAGAAAGAAGAGAGCTCAATTTGGACACTGTAGAGGAACCAGAGGAGACAAGTGTGGAAAGGATGCCAAGGATGTAAATTATGACAGAAGGGTAAGTGGCAAAGAGGGGAAGTGAAAATTCGACCAAAGTGTGTGGCCAGAACATTCAGTTCCTGTGACAAACTATTCTCCCAAATGACTAGCAATAAAAGACATCACCTACCGTAACAGAAAGCTGCCATCATCAGGACGGCCAGAAGCGCAAGGATGATGAGGCTCCGCATGGTTTCTCTCTTTGCCTCTCTCTCTCTGCGACTGTCTTCTTCTCTGTTTCCACCGAGGACAGCTAAAGCCTCTGGACAAGCTGCAAAGTTTAGCAGGGGAGTGTTTATTAAAACAGCAACAGGTGGGGAGCCAGAGAGTCAGATGAAGGGGCTTGAGGAAGGCAGGAGGGACCTACTGGCACTTGCACTCCAGGAGGAGACTGTTATAAAACACCTCTACTCATGGCTTTAAGATCTGCCTCTGGTGGGAGTGGGCAAGCTGCCTTCCCCTCCCTTTCTTCAGAGGGAGGACTCCACAGTTCAAAAGGAGGTGAGCTGTTAACTCTGCATGTTCCAGAAAACATTGGTCTGTGGAGGGCTGGCCCATGAATTGGGCTCCTCCTAAACATATGTGTTTAATTTTATAATTTATACTCTGATTTTCTTGCCTTTCCCACATTCATTTTGTATACACAGTTCTGGAACTTTGCAGCCCATCATCCCTCCAGGTACATTCACTACGTTTACCACTTTCCCTGGGGCATGTTCATTTAAGAATTCATTTTAGCATTGGCTTCTCTTCTCTAAACTCCATCTGCCTGAGCCAGACCTATTGTTTTGTATTCCACTGTCACCAATTGTCTGATTCCTACATCTCTCCTAAGGGTACCAAATAAGTCCCCCTCAAATCCCGCTTTGAACTTCTGCTTTCTGTGGCCTGGTTCTCAGAGTGGTGGTAAACTTGTTTGTGGCCTAAGACACTACCAGGGATGTGTGACTCTATTAATTTCTGTTTCTCATTTTTCTAATCTTAAGATGCTCGGTCCTCTACATTTACACATCAGTTTGTGATTTATTTTTTACCGTCCCTTTGAAAATATGCCAGCATTTTAATGTGATTTTCTCCAAATAGACACAATTTTGTATACAATGTTGCCTAATATAATGCATTTTGTGTGTGTTATTTTCAATAATATATACATTGATATGCACACTTTACCTCGGTATCTGCATTTTTGCACACATTACTTGGTTGGACAACTGCACTGCAAGATTAAGAGAAGTGTGAATTTTGAAGGACGGCTGCAACGGTTTGTGTACTCTTTTGGAAAGTTCAAATTACATAATTTCGCCTTTCGATGCATATTGAATCCAATTTGTCCCTCATCCCTAGCCAATGCAAGTAAGACTGAATGCTTCTCTACACACACAAAAACGCCTCCACACAGGAAATTAGAAGCCAGAGTGAAAGGTTTCTAACCTGTTCTTCGCCATTACCTACATGTTTTCTGAGAGGAGATGCTTTTTTAGGTGTGGAGGAGCATTCAGTGATGTAAGGACCCACACTTTTGGCCTGAAATGAAATAGCACAGCCCAAACACAGGTTGAAAACCTTGGTGAGGTCCAAACTAGATATGACCAAGGCAGTCACATTTGTTCTTAGCATGACTCCCATTCATGCCCCAAATGGCAAGGGATCTACTTAATGTAACAAAAAAAATTATGTGTGAGTGAAGAGAACTGATCTGTCCCCTATTTTACTCAATTGCTGTAGGCACTTTTCTCCCACTACTAGAAATGAACCAAGTCAGGGTGAGGAGGGCACTTTAAGTGATGGAATATGGGCAGGAAAAGTGACATGGGGGGGAGTAAGAGAATAAATGTGCTCTTTTCAGATACTCAAGAGGAGTTGTGGTTTTTTTCATTATGCTACTAAATTTTAAGCTAAACAGCTTGGTTCCATATTGTGCTTTGTTAATGTGGGCCTTCAGGTCTGCTGAGCATCTGCTCACACAGATACCCAGGAAGAAGATGCAAGTTCAATTCTTCAAATTGGTCTCTTGGCCGATTCAGAAACCATCTGGCAAAATCATGGTGCCTGAACTCTTTGGTAGCTTTCCAGAAGACAATGTGCCACCACCACAATAGGCCAGAATGGTAACAAGAGCAGTCTGCACATCAAAAAGGTGAATTTTTAGCATCACATCAACAATGGATTTGTATATCAGTTGCTTTCTTGCAATTCATTAACACCACAGTCCAATGCATGCCTACCTAGAAATATGTATGTATGAAGTATGTATGGCAGGGCTGGCTAGCTAGAGCCCCACTAGATGTTGCCAGACTACAACTTCCAGACACACACACACACCTGACCATTGGCCATGCTGGTTACACAGCCCTGTAGCCAGGATGGAGCAGAAATGCTAGGCATGGAAAACAATATTTCCCCCCCTGATGAAGTTCTATCATTACCTTCCCCCCTTCCTTGGATGTACAGTGGTACCACGGGTTACATACGCTTCAGGTTACAGACTCTGCTAACCCAGAAATAGTACCTTGGGTTTAAGAACTTTGCTTCAGGATGAGAACAGAAATCGTGCTCCGGCAGCGCGGTGGCAGCAGGAGGCCCCATTAGCTAAAGTGGTACCTCAGGTTAAGAACAGTTCAGGTTAAGAACGGACCTCCAGAACGAATTAAGTACTTAACCCGAGGTACCACTGTACTAGAAAGGGAAAGTAGCACAGAATGAAAAGCTCTCTGAATAAACTGAATTGGGATTAAGATCCAAGTTCCTAGAAATCAAGAACAGAGGAATATTTAAAGGTAAAGGTACCCCTGCCCGTACGGGCTAGTCTTGCCAGACTCTAGGGTTGTGCGCCCATCTCACTCTATAGGCCGTGGGCCAGCGCTGTCCGGAGACACTTCCGGGTCACGTGGCCAGCGTGACATCGCTGCTCTGGCGAGCCAGAGCCGCACACGGAAACGCCGTTTACCTTCCCGCTTGTAAGCGGTCCCTATTTATCTACTTGCACCGGGGGTGCTTTCGAACTGCTAGGTTGGCAGGCGCTGGGACCGAACGACGGGAGCGCACCCCGCCGCGGGGATTCGAACCGCCGACCTTTCGATCGGCAAGCCCTAGGCGCTGAGGCTTTTACCCACAGCGCCACCCGCGTCCCCACAGAGGAATATTTACTCATCTGTAAACTTAACAATTACCCAAAATGGAATATGTGGTCATACTCAAACCACTTGTAAAACCACATTCAGAATAAAACTAACTGGCTACACGGAGCAGTCACAAGTGCCCAATCAATCCAGATCTGGGCTGCCTGAACAGCTTGCTAGCCCATAAGCTTCTGGAGCCATACAGCCAAACAAGACATTGAACACTTAAGTTTGTTCTGGCTGGTGGGGCACATTTCTCAGCTATTCCTGAGGTTTTATGAACTTTTATTTTTTTTTACATGTCCTTGATGCGTAAGATTAAGGCAGGGGTCTTTAGAAGTAGTGGTCTTGGGAGCAGATAGCAACATGTGCCCCGCTGGAATAAAGGGGGAGAGGCGGCCACTATCCAAGGTGGAAATGTTCTTCCTCCACTGTTGGAGACGATGCGCCTTCCTGGATGCCAGTTTCTGGGAATCTCAAGTGGGAAGAGCCCTGTTGCCCTCAGGCCAAGTTTGTGGGCTTCCCATAGGCTTCTGGTTGGCCACTTTGAGAAGAGAATACTGGACTAGATGAACCTTAGCCTGGTCTATCTGAGCTCTTCTCATGTTCTTATAATATGAAACTCCCCAGGAGTAGGCAGGAACTCATACTACTCCCTTTGGCAAAAATACTTTGGAAGTGGAGAATGTCCAAATCATGTTGGAATTGGCAGGGCCAGGAAATAGCTCGCTCCAAACTCATAGCCCTCTTCCAAGTTCTGTGAGCATGTGGAAAGAAACAGAGAAAGCAGAAAGGAAAAGACTGTTTATAAGCACTATCCCCAGATGAATAAAGGACTTCTTTTCCCCAGTATCGGACCTTTCCTTCTCAGTCATCAACCTCATCTTTGTTCAAACACTGCTTCTCTCTGAGATTTGTATTCACTGGGAGGTTGAGCCAGAAATGTAGCCCCTGACATGAATCCATCCCAGTCTCTCATACCAGCTTCCCTTCCACCCCTTGTTCCCCAGCTCCGCCTAGATTTTTTAGTCTCCTTTAAGGATAGTCACTTGCTTGGTAAGGAATTGCTTCTGACCCACAGAGTTCAGATTTACAGAACGTGGATTTTATGAGGCAACTGCATATCATGGCCCCTCTGGTGTCGGCAGGCCTCAGTGCTGCCAAGAAAAGATGGCTGAGGCAAAGGGAGGGAGAAAGAACAGAAGAAAAATAAGCTTGGGAGAAAGGCTTCAGGTGAGGAGGGGACAAGCTGCAAAGAGACTTCTAACAGTGATGCGTTGTCACAAAAAGCAGGGCCCAATTCACTTTCTTAACAGCCATTCTCGTCTTCAGCCTTTCTCCAAGAGCATGCTGGGAGAAAGGCTGCCACCGTTTCTCTGGCTAACTTTTTCCTCCTTGGTCTCTTTTGATTTGTTACCTCTGTCACCACATTAATTGCCAACATTACCGAAGCGTGGATGGGTTTTTTAAACACCATGTTGATACTATAAACATCTTACCCACAAAATGCCTAACATTTTCCGAGGGCAACTAAGAGCTTGGTAAGGATTTTGTTAACATAATAAAGTTTCAGTGAAAGGCCTGATTTTGATCCATCCAGGTTTTCATCAGCATGTCAATGACCTATGGCTGGCAACTCAGAGAAACACTGACATTTTTCTGGGTGTCATCATGACAACACCTGGAAGAATTTTACTTGTTTATAATCAATATGTTCAGGAAGTTCTTTGCCAGAAACATTGCTGCTTTCAGTTCTGAGCCAGAATTCATGGAAAGTAATGTCAACCATTTTCACCCAAATTACCTGGCTGCAAACAAGCAGCTTCTTCCATCATTGTCGATGACAGGAGAGAATCATTTAGAGAAATGGAACAGCCACCAATATTTTTACACAGCCTGATCTGTAGCCTCTTTCAAAGGGGAAGAAGAGTATTATTGCTCGTGTGCCTGTCCTAAGTCTCTTTAATTATAAGCAAGTATCATTGAGACTGATCTTGAGTTTTCTAATCAGCAAAAGCCCAGATCAGCCCATTTTAAAATCCTACAACCCAAAACAGGTAATCCATACACATTAGCACCCTCAGATCCACTTTTCTTCTCAGATTTTACAATTTTGCAGCATCTTTCTTTTTGTAGGCAAAAACCAGGAGCAAGTATTGACTCAGTAAATGACGATTCTGCATTGGTTGGGCTGTCAAAAAAGTAGCTCTCTGGATCTTTTCGCATTGAACTGGTTCATAGCAGCAAGTCACTGCATCTCTGCCATTTACTTCTTATAATTTGGCATGTGCAAGGCACCCCCATACAG